GAGGTGCCCAAATGAGGCCCAGCTGTGAAGCAATGCAAGCTGCTGTGGGGCCTTGGGCCTTCTCTTGGAAGTTCTGGGTCTGTCTGGCCCAGCTGCAGTTTGTTAGGTAATTTTCAGATTGTAAAGGGCCAGGCCTTTCATATGCAAAAGCCTCTGCCGCAGCTTGGTGGGGTGGGGTCTCAGGGGATCAACAGGGCAGAGCAAGCAGCTATGGCTGATCCTCAGCCTTGCCCTAAGGGGCCCCGCGTCTCAGTGTCCCGGTAATTGCTGCAAGCACCTCTGAGAGAAAGCCACCCTTGAGTTCCGAGTTCTGCCCGCTGCCAGACCGTCCAGTCTCTCCCCGCACGAGTCCGGGTCCCCAGAGACTCACCCAGAACTGGAGTTCAGAGCAGTCGGGGGCTTGTGACTCCCTCCCGATTCAAAAAGACAGCTGCGTCCACCTCCGCAGCTTCTCTGAGTCTCAGTGTGCTTTTCTCTTCTAGTTGTAGAATTTCCACTCAGCCAGCCTTCCTGTAGTTCTGGATGATGTCCATTTTGTCTTTTAGTTGTATTTTTGAATTTTTTGTGGGAGGCAGCAGTTTCTGGTGTTTACCTATGCCGCCATCTTGGTTTCTCCTTCTGCCCATTTCTTAATTGGATTGTTTTTTGGTATTGATTTTCATAAGTTCTTTATAAATTTTGGATATTAATCCCTTATCAGATGTATGGGCAAATATGTTCTCCTTCAGTGGGTTGTCTTTTTTTTTTTTAAATATATTTTATTGATCTTTTACAGAGAGGAAGGGAGAGGGATAGAGAGTTAGAAACATCAATGAGAGAGAAACATCGATCAGCTGCCTCTTGCACACCCCCTACTGGGGATGTGCCCACAACCAAGGTACATGCCCTTGACCGGAATCAAACCTGGGACCCTTCAGTCTGAAGGCTGACGCTCTATCCACTGAGTCAAACCGGTTAGGGCCAGTGGGTTGTCTTTTCATTTTGTGCATGGTTTTCTTTTCTGCACAAAACCTTTTTAATTTGATGTAGTCCCATTTGTTTGTTTGTTTATTTATTTATTTATTTTTTCATTGCTTGAGGCAATATATCAGAAAAAATATCACTCTGAGAAATGTCCAAGATTTTACTGCCTATGTTTTCTTCTAGAATTTTTATGGTTTTGAGTGTAACATTTAAGTCTTTTTTAAAAAAAAATATTCTCTTGTACTTATTATTATTATTTAAAAAATATATTTTTATTGATTTCAGAGAGGAAGGGAGAGGACGAGAGAGATAGATGCATCAATGATGAGAGAGAATCATTGATTGACTGCTTCCTGCCTGCCCCACACTGGGGATCAAGCTGGAACCCAGGCATATGCCCTGACTGGAATTGGACCGTGACCTCCTGGTTCCTAGGTTGATGCTCAACCACTGAGCCATGCCAGCCAGGCCCATGTTATTTTTATTAATATAGCCTTGTAGGATAGTTTCTTTTAATGTGTTTTCTTTTTTAAAAAATTTGTTCTTTCTTGTATTATAGTTTGATATCAGGTATCTCTGACTTTGTTTCCGCCCCCCTCCTTGAGATTGCTGTGGGTATTTGGGGTCTTTTGTGGTTCCAAATAAATTTTGGGATTATTTGTTCTGGTTCTGTGGAAAACACCATTGGTATTTTGATGGGGATTGCATTGAACCTACAGATTGCTTTGGGTAGTATGGACATTTTAACAATATTAATTCTTCCTATCCATGAGCACAATATATGCTTCCATTTATTTGTATCTTCTTCAGTTTCTAATAATTTCCTGAGTACAGGTCTTTTACCTCCTTTGTTAAGTTTATTTCTAGTTATTTTAATTTTTTTACATATTTTTATTGATTTCAGAGAGGAAGGAAGAGGGAGAGAGAGAGATAGAAACATCAATGATGAGAGAGAATCATTAATTGGCTGCCTTCTGCACGTCCCACACTGGGGATCAAGCCTACAACCCAGGCATGTGCCCTTGATCGGAATCGAACCTGGCACCCTTCAGTCTGCAGGTCGACGCTTTACCCACTGAGCCAAACCAGCTAGGGCTATTTCTAGTTATTTTTTTGGATGCAATTGTAAATGGGATTATTTTCTTAGTTGCCCTTTCTTATAGTTCATTATCTTATCTATATATATATATAAAAGCCCAGCGGGGTCTCTACTCCTATATAATAAAAGGGTAATATGCAAATCGACCGAACGGTGGAATGACCACCAGGGGGCAGATGCTCAGTGCAGGAGCTGCCCCCTGGTGGTCAGTGCACTCCCACAGCGCTGCTTAGCCAGAAGCCGGGCTCAGACAGGCGAGTGCAGCAGTGGTGGCAGGAGCCTCTCCCACCTCCATGGCAGCACTAAGGAAGGAGCAGCGAGCGAGCAGTAAGGAGCAGCGAGCAGGCGGGTGGTAAGGAGTGAGGGATCCCGGACTGTGAGAGGGATGTCTGACTGCTGGCTTATGCCCAATTCCCACAGGGAGCGGGCTTAAGCCAGCAGGCAGACATCCGGAAGGGGTCCCAGACTGCAAGAGGGCACAGGCCAGGGACCCCCGCAGTGCATGATTTTTGTACACTGGGCCTCTAGTTGGTGTATAAAAATACAACTGATTTCTGAATATTTATTTTGTGTCCTGCTACTTTACTGAATTAATTTATCAGTTCTAGTAGTTTTATGATAGAATCTTAGGGTTCTCTGTATACAATATCATGTCATCTGCAAATAATGCCAGTTTTCCTTTTTCCTTTACAATTTGGATGCCTTTTATTTCTTCTGGTCTGATTGCTGTGGCTAGGACTTCTAGTACTATGTTGAATAAGAGTGGTAAAAGTGCACATCCCTGTCTTGTTCCTGATCTTAAGGGAAATGCTTTTAGTTTTTCCCATTGAGTATGATGTTGGCTGTGAGTTTGCTGTGTCTGATCTTATGTTGAGATATGCTCCCTCTGTTCCCACTTTGCTGAGAGTTTTTATCATAAATGGGAGCTGGATTTTGTCACATGCTTTTCCTGCATCTATTGATATGACCATATGATTTTTATCCTTCATTATAAAGAAGTTTTAATGTTAGTAATTCTTATTTTAAGAGCAAAATTTAATTTAAAAATTTTACTTTGTTTTTCTTTAAGAAAGGGGAAATTCTCCTTATAATTGAAAAACACCCTGATGGTTGGTGGATGGCTAAAAATGCCAAAGGAAACAAAGGTCTCGTTCCCAGAACCTACCTGGAGGTTAGTATTTGTTGCTTATTCTTTCCTTTTCCTCCTTCAACACCTTTTCACTTTTCATAAAAGTTAAGCTGTATTCTTGGATCAACTGACTATTAAATGACTTGAAGTATAGAATTTGCTTTAATTCTGAGGGACAAAGCATGGAGAAATACTGTGTGTTAACAGTCCTGGGACCTGTGAGTGTTCTCATGCAGGTGAGCCCTACAATGTCATCTCATAATAAAGATGCTGTATGGGCTCGTGCTGATCATAAAAATTAATAGGTGTTTATTATTTGTTGTAAAGCAAAACCACAGTTAACTTTGTGTTTACTTCCACGCATATATGATCCCAACTAGGATATGAACATACTCTACATTCATGTTTGTGACCTATTGTTTTCCATATTTCATGAAATAGCATGGTCATTTTCTGTGACAATACATATAGATAATCTGTTGGGATCAGTGCTGTTTAATAGAAACCTAATATAAACTATAAATATAATTAAAATTTTTCTAGTAACCACACTGAGATGTCTTTTTCCCCCCTGACACCACTTCTAACCAACTATGTGGTTTTCTCTGACACCAAATATGTGTTGTTTTCCACACCAATTGTCTGAAACCAACCAGGTGTCCAACAGTTCAATTCAGTTCTGACACTAACTCCTGGAGTTAGCAGACCCCACAAGTTAAGGGCTTTAGCAGACCCCACAAGTTAAGGGTTCGGCCCACAAATTGCTCGATTTCAGATGCCAGTCTCAAGTCCTGGGAGCCTCCTGTATTTGAGTGACAGCTATAAACTCAGGGGTTCCCACAGCCCTTCTCAGGTTTGAGAATTTGCTAGAGGGACTCACAGACCTCTGGAAAACACCTTACTTGTGTTCGTCAGGCTATTATGAAGGACCTGACTCAGGAAGAGGTGCCCAGGGTGTGGGAGGCGGAGGGAGTAAGACCTGGGACTTCCATGCCCCCTCTGTGTGCCGCTCTCCCCAGCACTTGGACGTGGTCACCAGCCTGGAAGCTCCCTAAGCCCCGTCCTTTAGGGGTTTATAGAGGTTTCATTATGTGGACATGAGATTAAAGCCTTGGCCGTTGGGGATCGAATTCCCTCTCCAGCTCCTTTACCCTTCCTGAATGGGGGATGGTGCGGTGAAAGTTCCAGTCCTCTAATCACAGGGTTTGTTTCTCTGGCAAACAGCACCCCCTCCCATCACCGCATTAGCATAGACTCAAGTACAATTATGAAGAACAGGACACTTCTGTCAGTCAAGACATTCCAAGGGTTTTAGGAACTCTTGCCAAGAACTGGGAATAAAGACCAAATATGTGTTTTTCATTATACCACATACTTAAAAAAGTAAAAAAGAAACAGGTGACATGATTTTTAATAATATATTTTATATTATTCAACATATCAAAAATATTACCATTTCAACATCTGACAATAGTAAAAAATTATTTTTTATGCTGAGTTCGAATTCCTGTGTGTATTTTGCACTTAAATAGCGCATCTCATTTTGGAGGAGCCGCAGCAGCCACAGGAGGCGAGTGGCTGTCCTATCCCACAATGGGTCTGGCTCATCTTTTCGGTGGCAGCACAGTCTTCCAGCTTCACAGGTGGACATTCAGGTTGTTTCTGCCTATCACAGCGATCAATGTTGTGGTGAAGAAGCGATGGTTAGCTTCCATTATGAGTTACAAGAGATCCCCAAATAGTGGCTTAAATTAGGTAGAAGCAGATTTCTCTCGTGCTTGGCAGAAGGTGGAGGTAGCAGTCAAAGGGTGCTGAGGCCCATCGAATGTTTCCCTCTGGGCAGGTGGGGGCAGCTCTCTCAGGGGTATCTCTGTAGCTTAAGTTGGCTGCTAGATCTTTTAACAGTTCCTAACAGCAAAAGAGAAGGAAAGGGAACAAGATGTCAAAACGCCCAAACTTCCATCTTTTTAAGACTGTTTCCTGGATGTTACTCAAAAAACTTCCAATTATATTAGTTCTTTTCAACGTCTAATGGCAAGAAGGGCTTGGAAACGTAGTCTCTTTGCCGGCTCCCTGCTGCAGGGAGGTATTCTGTCAGAAAGGAGGAGGTGGAGGCTCAGCGGCAGACCCCCGCAGCCTCTGTGACGCTCCGTCTGTCAGGTGAGTTTGTAGACTCCCCCCTTGCCCCCTGGTAGAGCCCCGATGCTCAGTGCTGGGTCAGAGGGCTTGCACCTTTACATTTGGACTGAATTTGCCGTTTTGTCTTTCAGAAAGTTAGGCCAACTGTTCCCCTCCCCAGTGTCAAGAAAGCATGCTTCCCCACACATTTTCAGTCATGGCCATCATCAGTCTTCCTGCCAATGTGATGGCAAAAAAGGCTTGTGATTGTTTTTTAAAATATATTTTTATTGATTTCAGAGAGGAAGGAAGAGGGAGGGAGAGACAGAAACATCAGTGATAAGAGAGAATCATTGATCGGCTGCCTCCTGCATGCCCCCTACTGGGTATTGCCTGCAACCCGGGCATGTGCCCTGACTGGTAATGGAATTGTAACTTCCTGGTTCATAGGTAGATGCTCAACCACAGAGCCACACCGGCCGGGCTTGTGATTGTTTTCATTTGCATTCATGGACCTGAGCTTCATGTCACATTCTTTATGACCATTTCTGTTTCTTCTTTGTAAATTGCCTTTTCAGTTCTTTTGACCATTTTTATAAGGGGTTTTTAAAACTCTTATTGATTTATTGGCATTTTTGTAATATTTTAATAATAAGTATATTAACTCTTGAAAATTTGTGACAGATGTTTTCTTTGTTGACTTTCAACCATGTTTATTTTTTGTGTAGCTAAGTCTGTCAGTGTTTCTTTTCATGTATGATTTCTGGTTTGGGCATCGTAATTGGAAATGGCTTCCCCATCTCAGGATTATTTTCTTCTCATGCTGTTCGAGTTCTTTTGTTTGTACCTTTACTTCCTTTTTTTTTCATTTGAATAAATTCTATCTGGAATGTATTTTGATTAAACTTTCTCTCTACCTCTATCCTTGTAATTTTCCAAATAGTAAAATGACCAACTACATGTTGAAATCTTCGTACCACTGACTTTTTTATATGCCCCTCATGTAAATTCCCATCTACACTCAAGTCTCTTTGAAAGTCATTTTATTGGTTGATTTTTGCATTAGGTAAGGAAAAGTGCCTTATATTTCCCTCATTTTTCAGCCCCATCATAAAGAAGAAGGCCACGAGTCAGGTGAAGAAGGCAGTGAAGGCGATGTGGAGGTGGCGGAAGAGAGAGCAGAGGGAGCACAAGTTGAGCACAGGTACCAAGGCCTGAGGGGATATCAAAGTAAAATAGATGAAAGGTTTGGGAAACTTTGTTTATTTTTATCATTGTAAATAATTCAAGATTTTTTTGGTGAGAGCAACTTGCAGTTTGTGAACAGTGCTTTTCATATTACTGTTTGCTTAAAGATCATTGCTACTTTAATTTTGTGATTATTCTTTCTTGGTTTCATCTGGATACTGTTAGGTTTTCAGAACTTACTGACAGCCCTGGCTGGGTAGCTCAGTTGCTTACAGCATCGTCCGATAGGCCAAGGTTGTGGGTTCAGTCCCTGGTAGGGCACATACAAGAAGCAACCAATGAATGCATAAATAAGTGGAACAACAAGTTGATATTTCTCTCTCCCTTTCTCCCTCTCTCTTTCCTCTCCCTAAAAAACAAACAAACACACCCAAAAACCTTTTCTCTCACAGTTTTGGAAAAGGAATAAAAGGACTTACTGATAGTTATGTACTTTGTTCTTTGATTAATGAAGTTTCCTAACCAAGTGAATAAGCGTGACCTGTCTGTGCATTCATGTTGCTGTTTTGTCTTCCAGAACTGATTCTCACTGGAGTGCTGTCCAGAAAGCTCTCTCAGAGGTTGGTACCTCCTGTCTTGTCAATGATGTCTCACTCTGTTACCTACCAGTCCTGCTAGAGTTCAGATGCAAAACAGGGTGGGGCTTTGGAAGAGAGCGTTGGATGTGAGACAGGGTGCAGGCCTGGACAGAGCAGAAACACGCGCTTCTGGTTAGCGAGCCTGCGCGCCAAGCCCCATTTCCCATCAGGTCTCTTCGGTAGGAGGAGTAGATTTGAGGGCTCGGTAGCCTCTCTCACTGCTTCTGCCTGCATTTTCTATCATTTAGGTAAAGACTGCTGTTAAATTTTAGTTAATAGGAAAAATTCCAGAAACCTCCAAAAGTAAGAAATTATTCATAATCTTATCACTTAAAAAATTACATAGCAAAATGAAAATTCACTCCCCCCATAAATAACCACCATTAACAGTTTAGGATTTATTCTTTCTGACTTTTTACCCTGGGTCTTACATGGACATGCTTGTGAGTGTGTGTGTGTGGTGTACACACACACACACACACACACACACACACACACACACACATATATAGCCATTGTCAGTGCATATGAGTTAATGATATTAGCTCATCTGTTAATGGCAGTACACTGTGGGGTGGGACAGGAGGGGGACGTTTTGATGAGGGATGTATGTGCAGGAGCACAGGGCTCAGCCTACTGGGCACAACCTGAGGCTTAGGTCCTTGGGAGATGCCAGGATTCAGTGAAGGCTCCTCGCAGGAATTTAGGGTAAATTGCTGTGTTTGTTCACTAACATCTGTACACTGAGCTTTCCTTTCTGGGCTGCAGTTGCTATAATGATAACAACAATACTGTAGAGTGAGGGAAACGTGAATGAAAACAGTGAATCAATTGTTTTTAGCATCTTCAGCAGATAAACACTGTTGATGTGCTGACCACGATGGGAGCCATTCCTGCTGGGTTCAGGCCGTCCACGCTCTTCCAGCTGCTGGAGGAAGGTAACAGTCCGGGGTCTCTCAGTGCCACAGACCTTAGTTAAGCTTTATGTCTAACTTCCTTGTTTTAGCCCAAACAAGTTGCTTAAAAAGATGGTGAACCTCACATCTCATTGGTGCTCGCTCATCTTTTCCTCATCTTTCCCGTGACAGTGGAGGAAGGACCCCTTATGCCAGTGATGGCGAACCTATGACACGCGAACTCATTTTTTTGGTTGATTTTTCTTTGTTAAATGGCATTTAAATATATAAAATAATTATCAAAAATATAAATCTTTGTTTTACTATTTTTTGCAAATATAAAAAAATTTCTATATGTGACGCGGCACCAGAGTTAAGTTAGGGTTTTTCAAAATGCTGACACGCCGAGCTCAAAAGGTTCGCCATCACTGCCTTATGCAATCAGAGGCCAGCCTGTCTTTCTATACTCTGGGCTCCAGTCTCTTCCCTTTATTCCAGAAACATGGCTCTTAATTGTCAGCCCCTCCCTGTATCTTCAGCTGGCCCACCACTTCTTCCCTCATCAGTAACACTGGCAAGCCTAGTGCCTCGCGCCTCTGAGAACCAGCCTCTCCAGTCTTGTCCCTTTCCAGGCCAAGCCTCCCTTTCTCTGCTTTTCTTCACAGCAAAACTTTTCCAAAGAGTTTCCTCCATTCGTCTTTTCTGTTGTCTTACTTGTGCTTGGATTTCCCTGTACTTTTGTCCATAAGAACATTTTATTTTATTTTTAAAAAAATATTTTTATTGGTTTCAGAGAGGAAGGAAAGGGAGAGAAAGATAGGAACATCAATGATGAGAGAGAATCATTGATCGGCTGCTTCCTGCATGCCCTCTACTGGGGATTGAGCCCACAACCCGGGCATGTGCCCTGACCAGCAATCAAAACACGACCTTCGGGTTCATAGGTCAACACTCAACCAGAGTCACGCTGGCTTGGAATCTACTTAATTTTTAAATGGTTTTCCCCACTCAACTGTCAATGCATGAGGGCAGGGCCACATTTCTCTGTTCTCATTTGGATTTCCAGGTCCTCGCATAGCACCTGGCACAGAGTAGGAAGTCAAAGATGATTTCTCCAATGAATACATGATTTTGTAATAAGTGTTCTTCATGACTAATATTTGGGAGAACAGTATCAAAATGGTTTTGTGTTAAGAAGTAACAGTAATGATTATATATTTTTCTAAATTTCCAAAAAAATATTTACAGATTTCTTGAATCTTACAAAAATATTTGAATGGATCATTTTCATCATGGGCCATGTTATTGGCCTTAGAGGCTTTCAGATATTTCTTGAAGCTGCTTGGTGATCAGCTCTTATGTGTTTCTATTTTTGTGTTTCCTCTGTTGTTTGTCTGTAAATCCCGGTTGGTGCCTCTGTCTGAGGAAGCCCATTCACAAGAAGCAGCTGGCCTTTTGGATGTCTGTTTCTTAAGTTTATAGCATAGAGTAATGGACTTTCGGCTTTGAATTTAGTTCCTTTCTTTGTAAGGAAATAAATAAAACATTATTTTTTCAGGGAATCAATTTCGAGCAAGTTACTTCTTACAGCCAGAGCTCACTCCTTCACAGCTGGCCTTCAGGGATCTCCTGTGGGATGCTAAGACAGGCACTGTAAGTGTAGCTACTAAGTTACAACTTTTCCAGATTGTGTCCTGGTTGCAAGTATACCAACAACATGTAAATTGATTAATGCATTATGAAAAACAAAGAAATTGTTTCTGTTCTGTGATTTTGAAATACTCAGTGAGTTTCATAACTAAGACACAACTTGGGTTTGTGATTTATTTTGTTTCTCTTCTCCACAGCTCTCTTCTCCCATTGTTACAAAGGAAACAGTACCTATCTCAGTCATTCTCTGCCTCAATTTCTCATCTATAAAAAGGGAATAATAGCAATACTTGCCACATAGGGTTATTGCGAGAATTATGTGTGTGAAGGGCAGAGAATAGTGCCTGGCTCATGATGATAACTCAGGAAATGTTAGGCAGTATCACCATCATCATCATCATCATCATCATTTGTGGGGAAGCACTGGACTTGGTTGGAAAGTCTGTAAGGAGGACTCTCTGAAAGCTCGGGGGCCTCTAAGGGACCTTGCCGAAGGTGGCAGCCCCTGCCTTGACTTTTGCAAACAAGTCTGAGGCCCCAGTGTGTACTGAAATCTTTATGTTTAGTCTTCAGACGTCCTTGCTTGAAGGATACTGCAGATGCATGTGTCTTCTCAAGGCTCCTTACCCTGCTGATAGTATCTAGAAGTTAATTTTAGTTCAAGCTGTTGCTACAATAAAAGCCTAAGGAGGCAGGTGAATGGGGCTGTTGGGTTCCTATAGCCAAGCAATCCCTTAGCCCTCTCTTTCACAGAAACGTGTGTAAGAGTAATCATTTATCCGTCGCTCAGGGTCTGCTGGTCAGCCTCAGCAATTATTATTATTAATATTATGTTAGTTAAGTAAGAATGAGTACTTTCTGATTATACTTTTTTTGGGATTCCTTAGAGTAAAGGATTCCTGTATCCCCAGTTGAAGTAGGAAACACTCTTCATTTCATTGTACTCTCCAACTCTTTAGCAGATCTACACCATGTTGGAGTGCATCACTCCCCTTCCTGTTTACCTTCCACTTTTTCCCCTTCCTGCCCCAGGGCCTCAAGAGGTGAACAGACTTACTGTGGTCAGGTGTTGTGGAGAGGAGTAGTGCAGAATTTTAGTGCTGCTTTTCCTCTCAACCAGAGTATTGCCTGGAACCTTCTTTGTATTAAATACCTCTTATTGCAAGTCAACAAAGATGTCGTATTTGGTGTGTTTAGTGTACTAGTACTGAAATACTGGGATAAATGGCATTTCATTTTATGAATTTTACACCCCGCTCTCATTTCTTAAAATGAAAAGGTGAGGCTTTTAGATGTTGCCTTATTTTATCAATGATATAAGTATTTTAAATGGAAGGACCATGATCATAAGGTAGAAAGTTAAGAATGGAAGATGTTCTTAAATTAGAAACCAGATGAAATTTGTTTATGGACATTCTGAACTGTACCTGTGAAGGTGAACCAAGCAGTCATATCCCATGGTCAGTGACTTCTCTCTGTCAAAACATCTGTTTAAGAAGCCAAGGAACAATGAAGCTAAGTGCTTAGAATTAAACCAAGGAGGAGCTGGCTGGAAGCTACACATGCTGTGACCGTCTGCCCTCACCCCCATTGTGGAGAAGCGACTGTGTGAATAAGCGCATACATCTTACCTGATTGTACGGCAGTTCCTCCCATCACAGTTTTATACATTTCCACCAAAGTGCAAATATTTCAAATATAAATCGTCATAAAAATGTACCTAAAATTTTGACTTAAATTAATCATACTATTGACAGTTTTCTTGTGGGTGCATATTTGTTTGTAAAATTCTTCCTTTTGTTATTTGTACATTATTCTTATGTATATTTTCTTACATATTTATAAAAGATGCTTTGGAAATGAATTTGTCTTAGTCACAAAAGTAAACCTTTTTCATAACTAATTTTTCTTTTAGATTAGGTCAAGAGCAAGTCGTGTTTCCTTGATCCTGACCCTCTGGAGCTGTAAAATGATTCCTGTTCCGGGAGTGAGCATCCAGCTCCTCAGCAGACACGTGCGCCTCTGTCTGTTTGATGGCAATAAGGTGAGCTTACTGCGGAGCACAGGGGTTCACGTCAGGATGGAAAACATTTTGTTAGTCAACACGTTAAACACGTCCTGGCGGGAGTCTGTCTGTCTCGGTGTCTCTGTTTCTTTATATGTGCATGTGTATGTGTATGTATGGGCATGTGTACATACATATAAAGTAATATGTGGTAGAGTGCAACTACATGGGTTTTGATGACATGGGCTTCACTCTGGCTCTTTGAGTGGCCAGATGTGTGATGTTGGCTAATCGTCGCAGTTAAAGCCTCTGAGCCATAGATTTTTCACCTACAAAAAGGTACTGATGCTTGCCTTCTAGTATTGTATAGCTCAACACTTAGGCGCACAGAGTTGCATTTCTGTCAAACGCACATTCCTGTATAACCCTCACCCCCGTCAGGAAGTGGAGCATTACCTCCCCTTATGGAGCTTCCTTGTGTTCTTTTCCACTTGACTCCTCCCTGATTCCTAGGAGAATATTTTTTATCCAGTACCAAACAAAGAATTTGAATGACTCCTAAAAAAGTAATTGATTTGGCCCTGGCTGGGTGGCTCAGTTGGTTGGAGCGCTGTCCCATACACCAAAAGGTTGCAGGTTTGTTTCCTGGTCAAGGCACATACCTAGGTTGTGGGTTCGATCCCTGGTTGGGCTGTGTATGGGAGGTAACTGATTGATGTTTCTCTCCCACATCGAAGTTTCTCTATCTCTCCCTTCCTCTCTCTAAAATTAATAAAAACATATTCTCAGGTGAGGATTAAAAAAATTGATTTGTTTGTGAGACAATATCTTTAAATGATGCTCAGGTGGATGTGTATAGCTTTTAAAAAATATTTTTTTTATTGGTTTTAGAGAGGAAGGGACGAAGTAGAAAGAGATAGAAACATCAATGATGAGAGAGAATCATTGATCAGCTGCTTCCTGCATGCCCCCTACTGAGGATTGAGCCTGCAACTGGGCATGTGCCCTGACCAGGAATCCAACCGTGAATTGGTTCAGAGGTTGACGCTCAACCACTGAGCCACACCGGCTGGGCTGGAAATGTATAGCTTTGATTGATATACTACTAGACAAGAAGAAAGATTTGAAATTGGTGATCTAAACTAACTCAAGAGGCTAGAAAAGGAAGAGTGAGTTAAACCAGAAGAAAGCAGAGTGGAGGAAATAATAAAGGTAAGAATAGTAATTAATGAAACAGAAAACAGATGAATAAAAGAGAAAATCAGAAAAGGCAAAAGTTTATTCTTTGAAAAGGTTAGTAAAATTGAGAGATGCCTAACTAGTAAGACTGATTAAGAAAGTTTAAAAAGGGAGAAAGAAAACAAATGATCAATATTTGACATGAAAATGGCACCTCATAACAGATCCCCAGACATTAAAAGGATAGTAAGGGGATATTATAAACATTTTTATGCCAATAAATTTGATAATTTATATACATCAATTCCCTGAAAAACCACAATTTACTGAAACTGACATAAGAAAAAAATAGAACATTTAAATAACCTTTGTTAAAAAAATTGAAACTGTAATTAAAAATCTTCCAACAAAGAAAACCCTAGGCTTAGATGGCTTCACTGGTGAATTCCTCCAAACATTTAAGGAAGAAATAATTCCAATAGTAGACAAATTCTTCTATGAGAGGTGAAAAGGAAATCTCCCCACTCATTTTGTAGGGCCAGGAAAAATGTGATGCCAAAATACTATAAGACATTACAAGAAAAAAATTACAAGAGTAGTGTCCCTCAAGAATATAAAATCTAAAATCCTAAACAAAATATTAGCACATTGGGGAATATTGAACTTGAATTTCAGGAATTCAAATTATGCACCTGTGTAACCAACATTTGACATTTAAATTCAGATCATTGTAATTTTCCATATTAGCAGAACTAAAGAACTAAAGAACTATAGATGTAGAAAAACTATTTGACCAATTTCAAAACCCATTCATGATTAAAAAAAAATCCCAACACACTAGGAACAAAAGAGAATGCCCTCAAATTGGTAAAGGGCAACTAGAAAACTAAAGCTAGCATCATCATCCTTAATGATGGAATGTTGAACACTTGTCCCCTAAGATCATGAACAAGTCAAGGATGTCCAAGAAACAAAAATATAACTCAGTTTTCTAAATGGACAAAAACCACTTAAAAAAAGAAAATATATGAAAAACTAAGAGGCATATAAAGGTATATTCAACATATAAGAAAATATTGGGGAAATGCAAGTTAAAACCACAATGAGAGCGATCTAACCATAGCCTACATATAAGAAACCTACCTTAAATGTAATAAGGGTGGAAAAAAATGTAGCACTTAAAATATATTAATATCAGATAAAGTGGACTTTAGAACAAGACGGTTACCGGGAATAGAGAGGTACACTGCATGATAGGGACAGTTCACCAAGAAGATGTAACAGTCCCCAAAGTGTTCACCTAACATCAGAGCTTCACAATGCACAAAGTGAAAACTGATAGAGCTGAAAGGAGAAACAGGCAAAGCCACAGTTACAGTTGGAAACTCCACCACTTCTTCTCTCAGAAATCTATGCAGCCCAAGCTGGTTTGGCCCTGTGGTCAGCCTGTGGACTGAAGGGTCCCAGGTTCGATTCTGGTCAAGGGCACATGCCTGGGTTGTGGGCTCGATCCCCAGTGTGGGGTGTACAGGAGGCAGGTCATTGATGTTTCTATCTCTCGCTCCCTTCCCCTCTGAAATATATATATATATGAAATCTATGCAACAGGCAGATAGAAAATTAGTAAGGATAGGAAAGAACCCAATAACACCACCGACAAACTGGATCTAACTGACATTTGCACACTTCACTCCAAAATAGACATTCTCTTAGGTGCATATGGAACGTTCAGCAAGGTAGATGCTTCTGAACAAAATAAAAGGATTGAAATAATACAATGTATTTTTTAATATGTTCTTATTGATTTCAGAGAGAGGAAGGGAGAGAAAGGGATAGAGACTTCAATGATGAGAAAGAATCATTGATTGGCTGCCTCCTGCATGCCTCCTATTGGGGATCAAGTCTGCAGCCTGGGAATCAAACCATGACCTCCTGGTATTCATGGGTTGATGTTCAACCATTGAACCATACCTGCTGGGCCGATGGTGTGGTTTTTGATCCCATGTAATTGAATTAGAAATCAGTAACAGAAAGATAAATGGAAAATTCTATATATTTGGAAATGGATTTCTAAATAATCAAAGGGTTAAAAGGAAATTTCAAGGGAAATTAGAAAATATTTTGAACTGAACAAAACATGAAAATGCAGCATATAAAGTGTGGGATGCTGGCTAAAGCTGTGCTTTCAGGGAATTTGATAGCGCTGCATGCTTACGTTAGAGATGGGTAGTCTGACTCTCCTGAGGACGTGATGCTTGAGTTGAGATCTGTCGGGTGAACAGGCCATAACAAGGTGCAAAAAGAGAACTGTGTATCTGTTTGAAGGAGCAGTGCAGGTGAGCAGTGCAAGCAAAGGTTATGTGGGAAAGGACTTGGGAAGTGGGTCGGTGTGGCTGAGTGAAGAGAGCGAGGGGAAGTACAGATTGGTTTAAAATGGGAGATGTCAGGACATTGTAGGCCATGGTGTAAGATTTTTGTCTTTATGCTAAAAGCAGGAGAATTACTGGGGGAAGTGACACGATTTTGATATATGTTTTGGGCAGATGTCTGGCTCCTCTCTGAAGATGGATTAGAGGGAACAGAAGGGACATGAGTAGACTATTTGGGGACTATGACAGAGTGGTGGTGAGTGGTCAGCAAGTATGGCTTTCAGGAAAACAAAACTGGAGGCAGCCTGCCAGGATCAACCCTGGCTCCACCAGCTGCTGAGTATGGAACGCTGACCAGAGAACTTGACCTTGTTCTCCCTCTCATCTGGTTCATACCTATTAGGGTCAGTGTGAGGGTTATGTAATGAGTTAGCATAAACACATCGGACATAGTAGGCATGTGAGAGACGATGGTGGTGACTTAGGTTAGGGAGGTGGAGGTAGCAATGAGAGAGGTAAAAACAACAGGATTTGGTGATGGTTTGGATGTGGCTGGTGAGGGAGCGTGGTCTCTGTCCATGGTGCTGATGTACAGTTTGGTGAGGACACTGAAAGCAGATCAGCTCTGAAGGGGTGTGGGTTTGCTTTGCTTACCCTGGTAGACATCTAACTCATGACTCAAGAAAAGTGTTGTCCGTTCATCTGAACTGGGAGGAAATGAATTTGTGTTACAGGGCCCCCCTCTCACTTCCACACTCTGCACAACACCAGCCACTGCCACACATGAGCCAGCAGGTGTCGTCAGTGGCCAAGAAAAGATGAATTGCCTGTTATATGAGAACATAACACAAAGATTGAAATTTTATTCTGAATAATAAAAGTAATTTTACATAAAATAATAGAATTTTTGAAACCTATTTATGTCAACTTTCCAACTTGAGAAGTTATAGAACAAATACTGATGCTATTGACTTGAGTGCTTCTTTAATAAATCTAAGCCTCGTTCCAAATAAAAAGCATGCTTGTAAAACTGATTGATGAGACACTGCTTGCTTCTAATACTGGTTGAGTAAGCTCCTTTAGGAACAACTTGCCCAGTGGTGACAACTGTAAATTCTGGGCGATGTACAAAAAGCAGCTGTCTGAAGGTACTGAAAAGCATCTGAAAGCAGGCAGCTACTGGAGAGGAGTCGGAAATCGTAGTCTGCTGGGGGTTTTCTCTTTATTTCCTCTCTTTTTCATTCACTGTGTTTTTTTCCAACCTTAGTGTGTTACTTGAACATACAACTCTCACAGACCCTCTGAATCACCTGCAGTGCTATGGAGAAGATCTCTGTACAGCATTTTACTGCTTGCTCTGGGTGTTCGTTATAGGCACATAACTCACCACAGTCTGCTAATGTCATCACTCCAGTTTGAGTCACGGGTAGAAACCTCACCTCCCTTTGATTGTCGTTACCCTCTTTCCTTTATAATATAATCATCTTAAAT